ACCAAAGCTTCCTCTTTGCTGTAGAGAGGCTTTAAGCGGCAATCCCAAGTCCTACCTGAGATGTTTTATGTCCTAATATGTTCTTTTAAATTTTGTTGGTAGAGTGGGTTACAATTGGTTTGTAAATGATTCTATAGTATGGTGCCCCCTTTGGAGTAGAAAATATCACCAGGCTTCAGACTGCAATGAACTCAAACCCCACGGTGAGGAAGTGATACCAGTGTTGTTGGGGAAGACAGAACTGAGGCCCCAGGGGAGGGTGAGCCATCCAGAAACAGAGCAGGGCTTCTGCTTAAGTAATTTTCCTTAACGTGGGCACCATTATTTGCCTAGAAGGATCCATGGTAAATTGTTCCCATTTTCTTTAGGTGTGTTGCCCATCCATCATGCTCTAAAATCAGTGGTGCAGCTGCTTTAAAATTAGCCCTGGAAGTCCAAGAATCGTTGAGGCATCTGCAGTAACTGGGGCAGCCAATTTTTGGTGCCCAGCTCCTCTGCCAAGCTGCTTACACCTGCCAGAGGATGGCCTAGGACTCCAGCAGGTGCCAGTGGGAGGTGCCTTCTTCCTGAGAAGGGGCTACCAGCATGCTAGGCAAGTCCCTGGTCCTGGATTTGTAAGATCCTCCCTCTAAACCTATATTCCTTGAGTAAACTTTTTTCTTTTTTTTTTTTTAAATGGGGGCAGGGTAAGGGATCTTGGAATTAAACATTCAAGATCAAATTGATTTTTTAAAGACCGAAACTGGTTTACAGGTATCACTTTTTTCACAGTCCAAAGGGGTAATTTAAACCCTCCTGAGCACATAAAACAGAATTCTAAAATAAATATTTAGCATAACCTATAATTGCATTAAAAAATTAATTTGGCCATCTTGTTTTCTCAGCCTCTCCTTTTTCCAGTCTTATAGAATAACTGATATTTAACCCACTGGAACACAGTAAATAATGTAAATTGAACAGAAAACTATTGAGTACCTCCTAAGTGCTAAGGAGTTTTACATGTATTATTTCTTTGAATTTTCATTAAAATTCCCCACTTTACAGGTGAGAAAAAGGAGGCCCGGAGCTGGTAAGTGGCAGAGTCCCAATGTGAAAGCAGGCATGCAGGGTTCCACTCGTTGCCTGGAAACACTTCTTTCACTTGCTCTCATTGTTCACATTTTCTTCTTTAAGGTAGTCTTTTTTCTTTAAAGATATGTATTCCTCTAACTTACTAGCTCTCTCACAAACATTTGACATTGCTGAAGATCAGATACCTCAACATAAAACAAAAATCCTCACCACTGGGCCAATAAGCAACATTCTTTAAAGTTCCCAAGGATTTCATTTTACTTGGATCTACAATCAATGCCCATGTAAGTACAAGTCAAGAAATCAGATGATGTATTTACAGGGGGCAAATTTGCTTCAGAAGACCTCTTTAAAGTGTTCAAAAGCAAAGATGTCACTTTGAGGACAAAGGTGCACCTGACTCAAGCCATGGTATTTTTCAATTGCTTCTTATGCAAGTGAAACCTGGACAATGAATAAATGAATAAGGAAGACTGAAGAATTGATGCCTTAGAATTATGTTGTTGGCAAAGCATATGAAATATTCCTTGGACTTCCAGAAGAACAAACAAATCTTTCTTGGAAGAAGAATAGTTAGAATGCTCCTTAGAAGTGAGGATGGTGAGACTTCATCTCGTATACTTTTGACATATTGTCAGCAGGGCCCAGTCCCTGGAGGAGGACATCATGCCTTGTAAAGTAGGTCAGCAAGAAAGAGGAAGACCTTCAAGGAGAGGGATTGACATAGCAGCTGCCACAATGGGCTCAAACAGGCAACAATTGTGAGGATGACTCAAGATTAGGTGTACACAGGGTCATTATGAGTTGGAGCCAACTTGATGGCACCTAAAAACAATGGTCCAGGCGCTAGAAGCCCATGCCGTTAACCACTATGCTGTATTATCCATGTGTATTACAAGCCCATGATGGGTGAGGAGCCACTGAATCAATGTATATGAGAAATGTTTTGTAAACTGTTAAGACACTCTATGTTTATGATACTGTTACTCATATTTGTTGTTGTGTGCCATTGAGTTGATTCCAATTCATAGTGACCTTATAGGACACAGTAGAACTGCCCCGCTAAGTTTTCCTAGGCTGTAGGCAGCCAATAAATGCTTTAGTTTAACCATAAGTGGCAAAACAAGTTTTTATACTTACATTCTCATCATGCTTTATGCTTTTCAGAATACATTCACACGTTTGTTCTCTTCTGGATAACAAGCCTCTTTAAATCTATTTTAGAATAAGGCACGCCATCCTGTACCCACCAAAAACCAAACCCACTGCCATCGAGTCTTTTCTTACTCATAGTGATCCCCATAGGGTTTCCCAGTTTGTAAATCTTTATGGAAGTAGAAGCCCTCATCTTTCTCCTGAAGAGCAGCTGGTGGATTTGAACCACTAGACTTCGGTTTACCAGCTAAATGCCTTAAAAGCCATCACCCAGATATATTAAATGTCTTGCTCAGGGCATGAAGTTAGTTAAGCCCAGCCAACACTGAAACTCAAGTGGTCTGACTTCCTGGCCAATGCTTTTGCAGTTGTAACTGTTATTAAATTGAAGTATATAAGTTATCAATGATAAACAAAATAATAAAAAGAATGACTTTTTCTCCCAGGCATTCTGCATTCCTAATTTGTTCATTCTTTTCAGGTTGTTGTTTTAAAAGCAAAAATCTCTTTTAGCATTTGGATCCATAAAACTACATTATCTTAAGTGCTTTTTTCAAAGTGTAAAAGTCTGCTTTCTTCCCAAGTATAAAAGTGCAGTATTCTTGGTGCAAAAAAACCAAAACCATCAAAAAAAAAAAAAAAAAAACATGGTAAAGGAGGAAAAAACATTTATAATCCCACCAACCCAAAATAACCATTTTTTATATTTCAGTTTTTAGCCTTCAATTTTTTTTCTATGCATATATACAATTTTACAGACTTTTTATACTTTTTTTTGTAATTTTATTTTTTTAAATTTACTTTACCATGATAATAAAGATAGAGCTATAGCTTCATTTTTATTGGCAACATCATATTCCATTTTATGGACGTTCTGTAATTTATGTATGTGGATTTAGGAATTCTCAAATATAATTCCTAATTCTACATACATAAATCATGGTGTGGTAAATTTTAAAATAAACCCTCCCAGACTTTAATCACTGTCCCGAGAAACCAAAGATCCCAGGATAATAAAAACCACCTTATGTATTGGGTCAAGTACATTTAATTTTCAGCTGCATAAAGGAGGGGCTTGGTAAGTTTAAATATTGAGAAATACAAGTAAAAATACACGGAGGGGTTTTCATTTTATAATGTCTGCCTTTTCTCTTCAGTGCTCTGCATTTGGCATAGTGGAAAAAAGCACCTTCCTTCTTTAATAGCTATGCTGTTGTTATGTGCTGTGGAGTTGGACCGAGTCATACTGACCCCTCCTTGGGTTTCTGAGGCAGTATCACTATGGAAGTAGACTGCCCGATCTTCCTTCCAAGGAGTGGCTGGTGGGTTTGAACCGCCAGCCTTCTGGTTAGCAGTCAAGTGCCTTAGGCACTACGCTACCAGAACTCCTTCTAGTTAACAGTCAGGTAACCAAAGCTAAACCCACTGTTACCAAGTGGCTTCCAACTCCTGACGACACTATAGGACACAGTAGAACTGCTGCACAGGGTTTTTAAGACTAGATCTTTACGGAAGCAGATGGCCTCATCTTTCGTCTTCAGAGCGCCTGCTTTTTGGTTAACAGCCCAGTGCCTTCCAGGACAGAGGAGGGGGGCCGAATTCCATAAGCTTTCCACTCCTCAAACTATTTGCTCTGAGACAATTCCACCTTGAGTGTGTTTGTGTATACATATGTGTGTATGACAGGAGGGCACTGTTTGCTAATTTGCAAGATATCTTGGTATGCATAGAGGACTACAGCTGAAGACGGGAGAAAGGATAGGTGGATCTTTCAGCAAATCAGAATCTTTGAGTTTCAATCTCATTTGTCAAACTAAGTTACTTACACTCACTCAGTCTGATTCAGGAGGTAGTCGAGAGGGTCAAATTACATAGAAGGTGCTTTGTGAACAATGTGATATTGATATTTAATAACAGTAAAATATGATGATTACTGTTATATGCCCCAGGTCTCCTTTCTTTTCAGCCACTTGGCATGCGCCAGTACGACTGTTCAAGCATGAAATTGGACAGGAGGCCAATCTAGTTCATTTCTGGTAAAGCAGAGTTCTACTGTCTAAGAAAAAACAGGAGCTCTAGTGGCATAGTGCCTAAGGTATTTGACTGCTAACCAGAAGGCTGGCGGTTCAAACTCCTCCGAAGAAAGACTAGGCAATTTACTTCGGTAGTGACACTGCCTCTGAAACCCAAAGAGTAGTCGCCGTGGGTCGGATCCTGCAGGCAGTGAGTGAGCGAGTGAAGGGAAAAACATACACAAAGTCTTGTCAATGCCACTCAAATCCTAAACTCAGTATAAGTGATTAATTCCATTCACTGTGGCGTCCAACCTCATGCTGTGCTTTGTTGACTTTTGGGGTACTTTATCGTCAATGTAACTGCAAGGTTTTAGTCTACGTAGGTCACCTTTCCTTTAAATGAGACAAGATATGATTCTCTTTACGGTCACACGGAGAAGTCAGGTGCTAGTATCGAGCCCGGAACTGTACGGTTAGACTTTCTACGGCTCAGCTCATTAGTTCATGAAGATACAGACAGAAAACCCACTGTGGAAGACTTTTCCCTTATCAATAGCTCAATACCTCTCTTTCATAAGAAGAAAGTGAGGCCCACAGTTTAATGCAGGAGGTTGAGTTGTGGTATTGCATTTCATGCAAAGGTGATCAGAAAGAGTTTGGGATTTCGGTTGATTAGGTCTTGGTTCTGCATTTTCCACACCTACCTGCCCAGCCTCTCTCACTTCCTTTGCTACTTTACGTAGCCCCGCCCCCTTTCAGGTGGCTCAGAGTCGCCCAGATTCTCCACCCCCCAAAGCGGAACCAATGTCCGTCGGCTCTGGGGTCCGCCGGATATTTCTTGCTCAGACTCTTCGCAGCGGTGACTCGGCAGCAGCGTCTCGCGTCATCAGTGACAGCCACGATTTTTGCTACGCTTTGCGTCGCTCTGCCAGGTGCAGTCGCCTCCTCCGTGGCAAATAGTCCTCGGGGGCGTCTGGATTCTTGGATCTAGGAGAGGAGAGGCACAAGAAGTTGAAGTTAGAAGGTGCGGAATCGATAGAGAGAGAAGGCTAGGAACCCGAAGTTTATGCGATAGTGTGGGGAGTTAGTTAAAAACTCCCTTCCTTCTAAGGATCCCTCCGCCTGCAGTAGCGGTGGTGAGGCCGAGGGAGCCGCCATTTTGGATGTTCGGTTCCTGCTGCCACTGCTGCCGCCGCCCCCGGAGCTGCTGGTTTCATTCTAGGTTTCGGGCCGGTGAGTGTCACTCGCGGCGCCAAGAGCATATTGTTTCTTTTGCCTTGCGGCTGCTGCGAGCGCTCGACCGGAAGCTCCCTGTCAACCCCAGGGGTCCGGTCTCAGGCTGTGGGGGGTGAGAAGAGAGGACCGAGGCTGGGCCAGGAGGGGCCCGGAACCCCAGGGGCTGCTCTGACTTCTTGAGGGCCGCTCCTGAGGCCTCGGACCGCGAGGCTCCGCGAGCCGCGGCATTCCGTGCTGTAGCGTTGCCGGACCAGTGCGGGCCTCCTTGAACCCATTGACTTTCTCAGGGTGCGATCCTCCTTTCAGGGTTCTTTCAGGGAGCCTGGGGTTTAGCGGGGCCGGCTCCACCCCCGCGTGTCTCCGCTGAGCCACGTATCAGCGTTCTTGTATCTTTTACCGGAGTCAGGTCTCTCACAGAACTCTCCTCAGCATATTCAGATGTTTTGTTAATCGTTGTCTGTCCCTGCAATGCCGTCCTTAACGCACCGGACATCGGCCTCGCCTTCTTCTAGCCTTCCGACTAACTTCTTTTTTAGTTTCCGTTTCATGGTTGTTTTTTATTTTTTACTTTTTAGTGTTTTTTTTTTTTTTTAATTTACCTGCGGGTAGATTATCCTTCACTGAAACTCTTGGCCCTACGGATGTCAGTTTCTAATAATTCTCCCGAGCTTTCTGTCTGCCTGAAAGAGTTGAGAGGGTGTTGTGTTAGAGCTTGGTGTAGAAGATCGTCAAACCACCGGCTCAACGTGTACTTCAGTCGTAAATGTTTATAAAGCAAATTAAATGGCTTTTTTTTTTCGTGTATGTGTGTGTGGCTGCCAAATATTTTTTTTTAATTTGTGTATTACCCTCCTTTGCTCAGCACTTAACTTTTTGGTACTTTTTTACATTTGTGTGTGTGTGTGTGTGTGTATACATATATATATATGGTGTTAAACATCTCTTGGCATGGAAAGCTGCTTATGAAGAATATTAATCTGACGTAGCTAGAATGGAGAGTGACTTTTTAAGACTGCTGTAGGGATTAGTTAACAGCGGGAGGAGTGAATAAGGACTTCTTAGTTATTTTAACTTTCAGGTGTTCTGTATAGTAATCTCTCTGATTCTGGAGTGGTTCAGTGATTTCTCTTTTTCCTCTTTATTGTGAAAAAATCAGTCACTTAAAAATACTTGTATTGACTTCGTGTAATGGGATTTCTCGAGATATTCTCGGGAGAGTTGGCTTTTAAACATTAACTTCTACTGTTCCCAATATACACCTTAGGTTTTATTTTGAAAAATGTGGACCTTCCAGATAACTGTAATCGCACTCTATTTTTTTTTCCTACTTCTGATAAAATGTTTGCAATGTAGCATGCTTGAATAAAACATTTCACAGCAATTCACTGGTTGTTTCCTGCATTGCAAGTTGGGCGAGTATGATTCAATCACCCTTATTTCATATCTCAGCCTGGGTTTTCACATCTGCAAAAGAGAAATAATTAGAGATCACAGTCTAGTGACTGCTGAAATTTGAATTTATAACTGAGTCAAGTATTTGACTGTCTCTAATATCCTTACTGAGTCAGGGCTGACTTGACGGCACATAACAACAACAACAACAACAATATCCTTACTGGGACCTCTTGTGGTGCAGTGCCTAAGGCATTTGATTGCTAACCCAAAGGCTGGCGGTTCAAACCTAACAGCCACTCCTCGGAAGAAAGGCTGGCCAGTGTACTGTAAAGATACCACCTCAGAGGGGTGGCTGTGAGTCAGATTTGACTTGTGGGCAGTGCGTTTGGTTTTGGTAATGTATGTAATACCTCTAATATATAAGTGCATTAATCTTACCAAGTTATTGAAATGAGTCTATAGATAAACTCCTGTGCTGTTCATATGATGCCTTGGTATAATATTGCATGTTTTCATTGTAAATATTCAACAAATTTTGTTGACTTACTTATTTTAAGGAAATTTTGAAAAATAAGCTACTGTTTAGGTATCAATTTTTTTCTTAAGGTTTAAGGACACTATCCGACACTCAACACCTGTGGGATGCTCACTCATTTACCAAGTATCTGGTTATAGATTCTACTGAAGTGTTCCATTTCTGAGTTACACTTTAAGAACAAAGTATTCCAAGACATATCAGGTGTTATTTAGCTCTCTTCGTTTTATGGTATAATGTACTGGTTTTTAATGTCATTCATTTTTAGGGGATATGCATTCTATTGGAGAAAGTGTTCTTTTGCCTTGCAAATTATAAGTAAAGTGCATGTCTACTTTGTCTAAGGCTGTTGGGAATATGCTAGAAATTGACATTAGTATTTCTGAAACCAAACTCACTGTCATCAAATCAGGTCAAGGCTCATAGCGACCCCCACTGGGTTTCTGAGGCTGTAAATTTTTACAGAAGTAGACTGCATCACCTTTCTTCCGTGGAGCAGCTGGTAGGTTTGAACTGCCGACTTTTGGTTAGCAGCCATATGCCTTAACCACAGCACCACCAGAGCTCCTTATAATGTTAGTAGTTAGGATACCTCAATTCAGTTTTTTTTGGGAGCAGTTTTTTGTTCTTTGACTTTTCTCACTGACATGAAGTTCTAGGGTTGGTGGCAAATTTTAGAATGAAATTATAAAGTACAAAAATTTGCCAGCAGTGCCTTGGTGATGATATCTCAGTATTTATTTTTAAAAGTGTTGACAATCAATATATATCAAATGATATATCAAAAAAAGTTTATGACTTATAAAAACTCTTTAACTTATTCAAAAACTAAAACGTTGAATGATTATTTTGCAAAACCACTAAGATTATTTTTAATTAAAAAAATCACATTGGGAAACTGCATACCAAAACAGATTTTCAAGAGGCTTAATCCTTTTATTTGCATTTGATGAGGATTTTTGAATTTTGTATATACAGCAGGATTTAATTAATATCAAAACTTACAAACTCTCAGATTTAATTTCAGAAAATCTAAAACTATTACCTGTCTTCAAACTGCAACACTTTTAAACTAAAACTTCTTTACTGTTTTAGGTACTTTAATTCACTATTTCTTTGCTGTAGAATTATTTTCAATTCTTGATTTTGTTTTTTTTCATCTTGTTTCTTTTATTCACTTTCTTTCATGTAGGGTAGGATAATATTTAAAGTAACAAGCAATTGTAAAATGTGGAGAATATAGATTTACATAACTTCATGTATTTCATGGTTATAGGTTTTGAAAATTATATTTGTCAAAATATCTCTATTAGGAATTTTTGAATTACCTTTTTTTTTGTAGGAAATTTCATTTCTATGAAGGCAGGAAAGGGAAAAGGAAGAGAAATGTAATTTTTACCTTGGAAATGTAAGGTTGAAAAATAAGGATTTTTCTTTACTGACAGAATAACATCAAACAATTTGGCATAAATTCTGGTTGCTAGAACAGTCTCTCAAAGTTGGAAGGGTCTAGAAGTGAAAATATCCACACTAGCCAAACTTGTTGAATCACAGTAAATAAAACTTCAGTATAAAAGAAGAAGGTATGATTGAACTGAGAAAGGCTTTTTTCCTTAGGTACTTAGAAGTTTTGCTTTTTTTTTTTTTTTTGCCTGCTTGGATCACTGGAGAGAGAAAGTTAATGAGTTGTAAGTGTTATCAATGAAAAATTAAATAGGCTTAAATAAAATCAGTATTTTTTTTAAGATGGGAAAATGTATGTGGACTTTTTCTTTGTGAATAATTAAAGAAATTTTAAAGGCGAATAGTTTTTATCCTTCTTTCTCCATTGTAGTGTAACAGTCATAGTGTAACCTGCTGTGCTGTTGTTTTGCCAACTTCACTTTGCTTATTGTATCTGATTGTGTTTGTGTTGTATTGAGCTTCCCAGCCTTTTCATCTTGTCTGTCTTTGAGTTAATGTTTTGGATTCTTGGGAATACATGGGAGAAAGACAGGAACTTAGATCTTAGGAGATGTGAAATGACTTGAGTACTTAATTTCTCACAAGTCTGGGTTAAAATGAGGACTGCTATAGAATATATAATGTACAGTATTTACTTATGAGAGCCAACTTTTTTAAATGATTATACGGTTGTACAGCTCAAAATAAAAGGAATTCCATTAGTGTTTCTACAGCTCAGTTTAGTGAAAATATCTATTAAACCTAACTATTAGGAAATTGTTCAGTTTCAAGTTGAAGAAAAAGGAAGGGAAGTAAATTCTTGTATTACTTTTTCTTTTTTTGGTACTCCTCACAAAAGACTTGATTCCCTTTCCATTTTTTTGAGAAATTTGAATACATCAAACTTAAAAATATGGTGAAAACACTGGTTTGATATAGCTGGTTGGGAAAACTACCTGAAAATAGGCACATTGTATAGTTAATTGAATCTTTGTTGATATTAGTCTTTTGGTATGATTATTGAAGGAAAAACCTTTATTTTAAGAAAAAAGAGCCTCTTTCTCCGATAGAACACAAAAACATTAGAAAACGTTTCTGATGTTTTAAATGTGTATTTAATTTGTCTCTACCAGTGAGGGCGTGGGCTCTGTATTTTCCTTAGAAACTTTCCATGACAAAAGCTTTTTAAAATGTTGTTATTTAAGAAAGTAGAACAAGGAAGTAGCTTACATTTTGATTTTACCAGCGTTTGGTTGTGTTACTTTTATTCACACACAGTGAACTTCTTGCTATTCTTGTCTACTCCATATTCTTTCCTTTGTTCTCATTGTACAGGTTGTACCTGTACGTGTAACGCTTTTCTTTCTCCCTCTCGCCTGATGAGCCTATTTTTCCTTCTTCTATATCCCCAGGCAAAGGGACGGAACACTTTTTTTTTTTTTTTAGTATTTTTTGAATTGTCTGCTTTTAGAGGACAAAAACTATCAAATTCATTTTGGTTTCTCCAGTGCATAGAGAAGGAGCCCCAAGGGTGCAGTGGTAAAGTGCTTGGCTGATGAGAGTCAGCAATTCCAGCTCACCAGCCACTCCTTGGGCGAAGGATGTGGCATTCTGCTTCCATTGA